CTAGAAATAAAGATATGATTTTTCACATCTCAAAAAGTCAATCTTTATTGATAAAAATTGCTGGAATAAAAAGAAGGAGCAGAGTATCCCTCTTGCCCTCGACACTACTTTTTCCTTACATCATAATGAAGTAACAGACCAAGTTTTATTAGAATCTGTTGGCTAGAAATAAAGATATGATTTTTCACATCTCAAAAAGTCAATCTTTATTGATAAAAATTGCTGGAAATTAAAGAAGGAGCAAAGTATCCCTCTTGCCCTCGACACTACCTTTCCCTTACATCATAATGAAGTTAAAGACCAAGTTTTATTAGAATCTGTTGGCTAGAAATAAAGATATGATTTTTCACATCTCAAAAAGTCTATCTTTATTGATAAAAATTACTGAAAAATAGAGAAGGGGTGGAGTTTTTTTTTCGTGGTTATTATTATCCGTCCTGAATTTATTTTTCTCTTTTTATTGAACTTATTATCCGGGGAATAGTCAATCATGTTTTTAAAAAAAATACAGTTGTGGGCCCGGGTCTTTTTTTCTACGTTTCGTCCCTGCGGCTGTCAGCTGGTAGCTGTAGTGTAAAAATTAAAGTGTAATCAAGTTATCGATTATTATATACATTACAAGTAGAACATCCTTAACAGCTTCATGTACGACATGACAGTAAAGATGTCGGCGATTTATTGTAAAATATTCATGCTTGTTCATATTGGGGCCATTTTCGACGATGTCCTTTACTTGAATTTGCACGAATTTATTTATTTTTATTTAAAGATTAGCAAATTCACTCAAAAATATTTTACATTTTATTGCTAACGCATATAAAGCTATATTTACGTGTTCGTAGATGGATGTGTACATATGCATACGTATGGCATAAAGCTATATTTTTATTTATTTATTGTATTGTATATTATAATGATACCTTTTGAATATTTTTTCCAGATTTGTCAATTATATATGCCGTAAAATCTGCTTCTTTAAAATGTTTTTCACAAACATAAAAATTTTCACCAACATCCAGGTTAGGAAACACATCACGAATAGCTTTTAACCACTCTTCACGTCTATCAATGTTCTTTGGCACTCTAAAAACTGAACGATTCGCTTCTCCAAAACAACCCGGAATTATGCAACGTTGTGGCATAATTGCATTTATAAATGAATAATTCAAAAAAATAAACAAATTGAAGACACTAAACACTAAATAAATAAATATTCGTTGCGTTCATTTGTTGAATGAAAAAAGTATTCACTAGCGCCAACAGATGGCGTTAGTGCATATACTCCTGCTGACAGAATGCCCCTCCCCCTGCAGAGCAAGCATAGTTCACTTATACGCCAATAGATGGCGTTAGTGCATATACTCCTGCTCACAGAATGACCCCCTGTAGAACGAAAACATAGACGTATCCAGAAAATCTATTCTACGCAAAATTCTTTGAAAGAAACGTTACCGCATATTACTTTAGAATAAACGCCATCTAGAACACAGTGCCAACTATTGGGTCTATTTGCAACCTAGATGTCAAACGATATTGAAGAATTTTATCTATAAATCAACGTACACCGCCATCTATGAGAACTTAATAAAACTAAACAGTAAATAAACACTTGCTTAAGAAACAATTGATTAGAACATTTTGTTTGTTTACATTCACGACATAAGCGAATAATTGAGATGATCACTATCCTATCCAGTAAGTTAGACCAAAATACAGTTACATGTGAAATTTGATAGAAATCGGTTCAGTAGTTTTGCAGTTTATTGGCAACATACATCGTGACACAAAATTTTTATATATATAAGATTATACTAAGAAGCGTAATATTTGATTTATGCAACCTTGATTCGGTTGTATAAGTATATCAAATATTACACTTATAAATCATATGTTTAAGTAGAAGAATGAATTCATTACAATATTACGATATTAGAATACCAGAAAAATTGTGTCGTTGTCTATCTTGCCTGACTAGTTTATAGTGATCTGTGCTTCCCACTTACTTACTCTCGCCATTTAGTGCAGAAACTAGGTAACAAAAAATCGACCTATGTTTTTGTAACTATGTATATTATAAAATATCGGTTGACTGTAAAGTGTTTGCTTGGCACTTCAAAACCTCATTTAAGACTATATGGTACGAAACAGAAATTAAACATCCACCTCGCAGAATATAATGCAATTTTAAAATATTGTTTGGTAGTAAAAGTTTTCATTTTGTCGCTAGAGGGCGCATTTGCCTACAGTTGTGCTACTCAACACTAGATGGCAGTATACGCTTATGGTACTACCATGGTATAAAACTATAAGTATGCAAAAAATGTAATAAGCTCAAGGTTTGCATGTATGGTGCTACTAAATAATGAGGTAGTATTAAAAAAAAGAAAGCACTAAAACACCACCTTACTGTATGTAGGGAATGCAATCTCGTTCTCGCGAGATCGCAGCCTTTTTTAGCGAGATTGATCTCAGTCGAAAAATAGGCGAGACCTCGCGAGTTTAACGAGATTGAACTTGAGCCTAAAAACGATTTATTCTAAGTGTGGCAGTGTGAATTTATGCGAGTCCGGGGGGCGAAGTTAAAAGGCGAAGTTTTACATTTTTACAGTACTTGTGTTTTCGAAAGGGTCTTCTCAATGACTGTTTATTTGGTCAGCACAATAATTAGACGAATAGTAAAGATTTTTTGGACATTAAGTGCTTCTTAAGAAGCTACTTTCAAAATTAATCGTAATAATGACGTGTGAAATAAACTGAATAAGTCTTTAAATTGATTAGTATATTTTGTTAATTTATTCTATAATTTCTAATAAATCACTAGGGATTAAAAAAATATTAAACCTAATAAATCGAATTACCGCATCTGAAAGCTCCCGCATACTTAATGTCATGAAATTTGTTGGAGCCCTTTCTGAGATTATAATACAGAAATTGCTCTTTTGAAGGTTTTAGATAAAAACATATAATTGCGTCATATATCGGGTTGGCACATAAGTAATGAGACACTTGGTTTAAGTTTTTACTTTTTTATTATTATTACAATAAATAAAAGTTTAGTCAATGATGTAATTACCATTAGTATCTAAAACTTCTTGGATCCGGCAAAGTTTGGATGCCTGTTGCCCAGAACTCTGATGGCTGTGCTTCGAAAAAGTTGTTCAACTCCGCCTCTACGTCAGAGAAATCATTAAATTGTTTACCCTGCAAATGCTGTTTCAGGGCTCTAAACAAATGATAGTCTAATGGGGCGAGGTCTGGGGAATAAATAACTGTACCAATTAACTTAAGCATTACAATGTCCAATCTAGGGAAACTTGGCCATGTATGAAATATTTCTTTTAAATTATTACCAGTCCAGGGTTCTGTTAATCACACATCAGGATACCCGAGCATTTATAAGACAATGGCATCTTTTTCTATCAAAAAAAATATTTATTTTTCCTATAAAAAGAGAGTAGGGAGCAGAATTTTTTAATACATTGGTAACCACATAAGTTCTAATCATTTAAAGTCAAATAATTCAGGATTTCAGTAACCTGCTAATACATTATTATTAAATAGGCTAATACATTATTATTAACTATTCATTGTAGGTAGAGAATTATGGGATATTGTGCAAAGGTTAACTTATTGGAATTTTAAGTTAGGTTATGTTGAAATTCTTATGAAAATTCAAGTTCATAGTACTTACTTGTTCCTATATTGTAAATGTCGCTGGTAAATTGGCACAGTTGGCCCTGCAGCCTGAAATAACAATGAAAATGAAAAGCAACTATAGAGAAAATATTGATAGTCATAAGCTCGTCGAATCGAATGCAATCTCGCGAGATTGCATTCTCTTCGACATTCATTTCATCTAGATGGCGAAACTAGCAGAAGTTGATTTTTGCAGGAAACGAATAAAATAAAATGAAATAAAAATATCTTTATTCAAGTCAGCTTGTTATAAGCACTTTTGATCGTCTAATTTTTCAAAATTAATCATTAACTTTATAATAGCCTTTATTCATAAGTACATGTGTTCTTTTAAATTTATTTACTGCAAATCATGTCATCTGCAAATAACACTGTCTCGCACAAATTCTTCGTAAAGTGAGGAAGATCATTAATGTACATTAGAAAAGCATGGGTCTTAATATCGATCCCGGAGGTACGCACATAGTAATGGGTACCCCTGCAGATTTCGCTTCATTAATTACTACTTTTTAAATTGAAGCAGAAAAGTATGATTTTATTAGATTAAGTGAATTTTTTGACATACCATAATGCTCTAATTTCCCCAACAATGTTTCATCTGTGGTTTCATGACTAACGCAGTCGAATGCTTTTGACAGATCGCAAAAAATGCCGAAGATTGATTGAAACGATCAGCGATCATACTGGCTTTCTTCACTTGATTTTTAATCAAAATCTTAACACAAAAGTAGAATTTGAAAGATTTATTGAGGAGAGATTGTAGTATCTCGAGATAAAGCCGTGTGGAAAAGTAAAATCGTCGATAGCTAAAAGTCATACATATATGTGCAATATTTAATTTCCGTTGCGATGTTGATACGTTGTTTACGATCGTCATTGGGATTGGTCTGAAACGACTGACCGTTCCTTTACTTGTTACCTAATACCATAAAAAAAAATCACTCCATAGATATAGGAAAGTATTCAGCCTAATCTATGATAGAAGATGTGTTTTCGTTGTCAACTATATAAATGTCATTCGAATACATTCTAGTAATTGGTTCATCGTGACACTATTATTGGTTCAACCAATGACGAGTATTCGTTTAAAGTTTTTTTTTCAATGAAAACACATTAGCTGTTCAATAAAACGAGAATATTCTACAAAGGATTTCATTTCATTTTTAATGTGGCAAGAAAACTAGAAGAGTGCACGAAAAAAAAAGTAAAATCGTTCTTTCATGAAGTTGCGTCATCCACATGTTCTGTTTGAAGTGAATTGAAACCAAAAAATAAAATAAGTAGTTGATAAAATCGAAATTAAAATGTTGTGTGCGACGCGGGCTATCAGCCGAAAGGCCCTAGAGTGTTCGGGTATTGGATCCGATTTTTATACGCATAGGAATTTCTCCACAATCCTCAAAACTGTAAGTATCCATTTTACCTCAAAAAACGAATGAATATCGTTTGTCATTATATTTAAAAGTGTCAATGTGTTTTTATTAAATTAAATACCTTATTATTAATTTACTATTAGTTTATTGAAAATCGCGCCGGCTAGTAGGTCACGTGGAAATTTTTCATAATTTTCTCTATAGTTGCTTTTCATTTTCATTGTTATTTCAGGCTGCAGGGCCGACTGTGCCAATTTACCAGCGACATTTACAATATAGGAACAAGTAAGTACTATGAACTTGAATTTTCATAAGAATTTCAACATAACCTAACTTAAAATTCCAATAAGTTAACCTTTGCACAATATCCCATAATTCTCTACCTACAATGAATAGTTAATAATAATGTATTAGCAGGTTACTGAAATCCTGAATTATTTGACTTTAAATGATTAGAACTTATGTGGTTACCAATATATTAAAAAATTCTTCTCCCTACTCTCTTTTTATAGGAAAAATAAATATTTTTTTTGATAGAAAAAGATGCCATTGTCTTATAAATGCTCGGGTATCCTGATGTGTGATTAACAGAACCCTGGACTGGTAATAATTTAAAAGAAATATTTCATACATGGCCAAGTTTCCCTAGGTTGGACATTGTAATGCTTAAGTTAATTGGTACAGTTATAAATATAGAGGTTATACTGTTATATTGACCACTGGTGGTCTTTAAAACATTCTAAGTGGACGATGGAGTGGAGATTTTAACGCAGATACATTGAACAACTATATATCTACTGCATATACTGTATACTAAATGGGTAGTCATTGGCCAGATAAGTTAAATAGTCCCTAACAACTGAAAGTACACAATTTATGTAGTCTTAAGTGGCCTTATTGTAAGTTGAATTATGTGTTGTTTCCAAAACTAACAGTATTTTTATGAAAACATTTCTCAGATATGTAAGAATTTATTTCTGTCTGTGAAATCACTGCCTATAAAACAGTGGTTTGTAACCTTTTTGGCTGGCAACCCTAGTATAACTGTAAATATGTATTTACGCTTGAAACGAAGGGGAAATGGTATAAAGAAGTGCAAAAGGAATTTCCTACCAAACCATGGTACCATACCTTTGCATACAGCGACAGGAGATTCATAACTACTATATCAAGGATGCGATTGGGACATTGTCTAACACCAGCACACTTGCATAGACTGAACATAATCCACAATAGCAGATGTTCTCACTGTAATCAAGATAAAGCCGATTTAGATCATCTAATACTTAGATGTCCTTCATTTAATTTACAACGGTTAGTGCTCGCGGATGACATTACCGAAGTTATCAATGACAGTACTAGTGAAATAAGTGTTCCCCGCCGCATAATAGACTTCTTAGCAAATCCAGATTATTTTTTTCCATTGTTTAAATACATTTGTAATACTATAGAAAATATATAAATATGTAGGCATATAGCTATTCTACAAATGTTAAATTTATAAAATGTATTCAGCTGAAGGACTTGTATCCATGGCTATGAATAAATAATTATTAAAAAAAAAAAAAAAAAATGTAAATATGTATTTGAAATTATCAATAGACCATTGTTTACTCATGTATCTTTTGAAAATTCTTATGTCCTTTCACAACACCACTAATACAACCTACATCATAATGAGAGGTTAAGAAATTCCGTGTGTATAACCTAATGTCCACACGGCTGCACGTCAGACTATATACATTGTGGATGTTGCACTGACCGTGCTTCGTATAGAAATTCCTTAACAGAGTTCTGCTTACAGTGTATAGTGTGATGTTCGGTTGTGTGTACACAGCAGCACATCAGGTTGTTATTAATTTCAAAATTTCTACAATTTTTTAAAATTTGTCTGCACCCTTGAGCGGTCTCAGTACTGCTGTGCTGAAGACCTTTGCGGTGGTGCTATATTGATAACAGGTTCAATGTGGTTGCAAAGAATCTTTTTATGTGACTATAAAACCAGTATACATGATTTCAATTATAACTAATACTGCAGCATGTAGGTTTATAGGTTTTGGACTTTATTAAACATGTAATTAAAGTCAATTGTGAATATTTGTCAGTTTGAGTAACCTGGTTAATTTACAAGATGAATTTAAGTAACATTCAATGGGTAACATAATGTTATCTTGATAATTCACAGACTCTTTGTAATTTAGGGCTTATTATTTAAGGTATTAAACAACTGCTAAATATGGTTTTTCTGACAGAGAAAATTGTCTAGGATGTGCCTAAAAAAAATAAAAATCCCTTTTTATTAAATAATTATTTTCATTGTACTTTTTGTTCAATGTGATTTCACAGTTATTTTTATTTGTTTTATTTAATTTAAAACAGAAAAATTTTAAGTTAATAGGCTAGTTGACAACTTTTTTTTTATTTCATAAATAAATAGTCCATTAACATCTGAGAAATAATGTCGAAGTAACAGCATGTCTGCGATTAATAGTTTCGGAGATACGGTGCTGTGTTTGTAGAACTGCCGCTAGTTGGCCGAAAACGCTCCCTACAAATTCAAGGCACTCAGTGACGTCACATGGTGCTACAGTAGCGAAAAATGTATGGGCGTCTGGACATTTTTTGTGATATCTTTGTTATTTGTGCGTTTATGTTTATAGCTGTTATAATGAAAGTTGTAACATTTTTTATATCTAATTTAAAGCCTTATGTATTTTAGCAGATTTTTGTAATAGATTTTCTGTACTTTTTCAAGTTTCCAAAGCGTAATATTTTCCAAATCATTGACTTAAAATTTGTTTTGTTAAACATTTATAAGTTGAAATGGTTCATATTTTTCGAAGATATAATAAAAACCTGTATTTTCACTTGTTGGACACAAGCCTATTGAGTTAAGAATGGCTTAGTGTACTTAAAAAAAAAAGTTGCCAATTATAATGAGGATAATTATCAGATATTTATCCAGAATAATAAATATCTTTATAATAATGAATCCCGTGACTGGTCATTGAGTTCCTCACTTCCAACTAAAAAAGTTATTATAGTATGTTGAGTGTTTTGAACACCCAATGTTTAGGTGATTGACAACACTACTCATTTAATGAATCCAATATAATTTTGAAATTAAAATCCATTCAGAATGTTTTTGTTTTCATGTGTAGGTCAGATGGCGTTCGCGGCGCTGTCATTGGTATCGACTTGGGTACAACCAATTCATGTGTGGCAGTCATGGAGGGTAAAACACCTAAGGTTAGATAAACTTTGAAATTTAATAATCTTTTTTAATAAATAAAATTCGTGTTACGTTTCCTACTGACGTCTGAAGTCTATGATAAAAAAGTTTTAATGTAAAATAAATGTAATATGCGCTTACATTTATTTTTGCCCGTTTCTTGATTTATGATAGTCCAGGTTGTTTTTATTTTAGTTTCTAAGATTTTTTTCGCGACATTACAAAAGTGCTCTAACCATTTGAAAAGCGACGCAACAATGACAAATATGGCAGCTTGTATTTGGTGGGAGAGATTCCTTAGGGCAGTAGGGGGCGCTGCGGGCGTACAGCGGAAATGGAGTAGCAACATTAAAGGAAATAAAAAGCATGAAAACTATTTACTCTCCCATAATGGACTTTGGACGTCTAACGGAACACATGATATAATTCATTCTGTTTTGTTTCTTATAAACAGAATGATGCAAAGTAAGAAATATAATAAATTCCATGAGTTTTTATTAACAGTATTTTGAAAACCATTGAAATTATTAATTTAAGTTAAATTAAATTTAAGTCGAAAGATATTTTATTTAAAAAGAAATAAAGTAAAGCCGTAAAGAGTAGCTCGGTGGCGTAGTGGATAAGCGCCGCGACCCGTGATCGTAGTCGTTAACCAACTTTCGCAAGGGTCGGTCACGGGATGGGTGACCAAAAAATTATTATCTCGAGCTATTCCGTGCTTCGGAAGGCACGTTAAGCCGTTGGTTCCGGCTGCATTTGCAGTCGTTAATACTCTCTAATCCGCAGCGTGGAGGGTCATGGCCCATCCTCCTTAACCATCCATAAGGAAGGCCTGAGCCCCTGCAGTGGGGACGTAAAAATGATTGAAGTAAAGCCAATTAAATGACGTAATTGACCATTTTCCTCTGTGCTTTGGAAGGCACACTAAGCCAACGGTCCACGAGTAAATGGTCCATTAAATACGTAAACGATTTGATAGTTACTAAGTTACATTATGATAGCAAGCGATTTTATCTGTCCTTATCTCTCGTACGTAATAATGTCTTTCTTTGGTCGACGATGGCTGTCGTTGCTTGACTCGTGGTAGAGGAAAACTGACAAAATCAAAATAATCTTTATTCAATTTAACTTCTTAAAAGTACTTTTGAATCGTCCAACATTTTTTCCCTACCACTCGTTCAGGACGTCTTTTGGCTGATAAGAAGAACGAGCAAATAACTCACCAGCTCTAAATGGAGTAATGACATTCACAAAAACCATGTCATGCCAGATTAATGCATTATAAATGCATGATATCTAATTGTTGTATTTTGCTTGGGACCTTATTGTAGAAGCGCACACAAAGGCCCTTGAATGAGTTAACTTTTTGCAGTCTAGTGACATGCGCCGTTAATTTATTTTTATTGCTTGTATTAAAATTGTGTACATCACTTTTTATAGAAAACAAAAACTGTCCATGCAGAAGTTGGAACATTAGATGCATTATTTTTCTTTTTTCAAATAATACATAATGCTGTAACTAGTTGACTTAAATTCTACCTCTTCTGATGAGTTTTTGATTAATATAATAAATATTGGTGTAGTAAGTTTTGAACTCCTGAGTTTTGCTGACCTTACTTAATTAGGATCACATTATAACCTTTTTAATTAAAAAAAAATATTGTATTGGTGGAGTTGAATCGAAGGTCAAAAAACAACTTTATTCTTTAATGTCATACAATTCTATTTCTATAACATTCGATATAACACAGATTTGTTGTATTTGATTAGGTGGTCGAAAACAGCGAAGGTTCTCGCACGACGCCATCACACGTTGCGTTCACCAAAGACGGAGAACGTTTAGTCGGCACACCAGCTAAGAGGCAGGCGGTAACGAACAGCGGGAACACGTTCTACGCGACCAAACGTCTTATCGGCAGACGGTTCGACGACCCGGAAGTGCAAAAGGACATGAAGAATCTATCTTACAAGGTGGTCAAGGCTTCTAATGGCGACGCTTGGGTTCAAGGTGAGAATCAAAATCATTTAGAACGCCCAATAAAGTCTGTAACTATAAGAAGTATGGAGATCCGTTCTAAGGAACTATGACATATTTTAGTGACAAGAAAAACTGCATTCATATATTTATTAAAAACTAATTTTCAAATTGGGCATCGGACCTGATGTTTTGAAAAATAAAACTTGCCTTATTATTATGTTGATATTGATTGTGCAGGTCTTAAGCAGTTAAATGCTATTATAAAACATGATGAGATTTCTCATTGAGAGAAATAAGTATAGAATCAGAGGAAAATATTAAAAATAACAAGTCTACTCAAATTCTCTGAAAATGGAACCTTATCTATTTTCGGAACTAATGCGATTCCAAAATAATCCTATAATTTATGATTCAACATAGGTAAGATCTGACACTGCCTATGAAGAACAGATAATCTTCACGGATTTAATTTAAGCAATATCATAAGAATAATTCGTAGTTTTCCTAATTTTCGTTCGTGGACAGAGTAGGTCTTCTGGGTATAATAATTACTGAGCAAAGTTTATAGAGTAAGTTAGTTACACTTGTTTATTTGAATAAAGGTTATTTATGACTGAGTTACTATTAATAAATATGTACATTGTTATCAGGTAGCGATGGTAAAGTGTACTCCCCGAGTCAGATCGGTGCATTCATTTTGATAAAGATGAAGGAGACAGCGGAAGCGTATCTGAATACAACAGTGAAAAATGCCGTCATCACTGTACCAGCGTACTTCAATGATTCACAGAGGCAGGCGACTAAGGATGCTGGTAAGTTGAATCTCAATCTTATATAAATACTAGCATTTCGCCAGCGGCTTCGCCCGCGTGGTCTTGTATTATACATAAAAACCTTCCTTTTGAATCACCCTATCTATAAAAAAAACCGCAACAAAATCCGTTGCGTAGTTTTAAAGATTTAAGCATATTTCTATGTATGCTGATATAGGGACAGAGAAAGCGACTTTGTTTTATACTATGTATTGAAAAGCATCCAAAGGAATATTATGTAACGATTAGAATAAGGTTGTTGACTCATTGTTTGTGTGAATGCGTATGTTAAGCAATTTAAGTGATTGCCAGTCGTAGGATGGGTGGCCGAAAATCTTGTTCAAAATTGCGTGATTCCGGCTGCATCTGCAGTCGTTCGTTAGCATCTACTACTCGGCATCTGTAATTATTGTGGCTCAACCAACAAAATAATTATTTACGGACTAGCTCTTTTACCGCTACCTATGCCCGAGTAAATTATAGTCCTATCACCTGTGTATGATATAGCAATAGAATATTTAAACTCTGTCCAGTATTTCTAAGATTTTTTATTATTAAAAGTTAGAAACTTTACTAGTATATAATGTAAAAATATATTGACATAATTCTCAAAAAAATTATATTTTTTTTTGTTCAGGTCAGATATCTGGATTGAATGTTCTGCGTGTTATAAACGAGCCGACCGCTGCCGCGTTAGCGTACGGCATGGACAAGACTGATGATAAAATGTGAGTGTAATTGTGTTCTTAAATGGAAACCCATGGAAGCGCAAACGTATTTTCTTTACACCTTATAAATTAATGACAGGTGACATAAAAATTAGTAACTTCACAGTTATAATTTACATTAAACAATGATGCAAACTTTTTTTGTGAAACGAATTAGCTCTAATTTAAGAACCTCCACTAGATGGCGTCTCTTGCATAAGTTGATTTTTGCAGGAAACGAGCTGGACCCGAGTCAATTCTTTCCGTATCACTTTTACCTAACATATTAATAAAAACCGATAGTTCCAACTTAGATATCGTTACAGAATATTGCGTAAACTGACCACTAGCATCGATCTTTTTTTATTGAGTCGTGCAAACTGATTTACGTTTGAACATGCTAAGGAAACCGGAAAGTTTGTCATGGGAAAATCAAGATTGTCGTTCCTTTACGTACTTCTACGTCTCGATTTCGGGTACCATATTTTCTCATTGTTTAAATCCTTCAACTCGGTTACAATAGCCGATAATCCCGAGTTTTTAGCTGAGACTTTGTAACGATACGGAATTATATGCATTTTAAGTCATTTAAATAAATAGTGAAAATTGATTATTTATCTCCTAAAATACGCGTTTATTCGTTTAAAGTTTTGCAAAAAATGTGGGAAATAATGCTTTATAAAATAAATATAAAAATAAAAATAGCCTTTATTTTCTGACTTTGTATATCAATTATAATTACAATTTAGTTTTTTCCACCGACATCGGCATCTGTACCGCCAGGTTGTCCTTTGACAAAGGCCTCCTCCAGCTTAGCCCATTCCCCTCTAATGAATGCTTTAGAGTATAGTAAATAAAAAATTAAACACTAACTTTGTTTTTAAAATTCATTTTTGAATTTGATTTTATATCAACAGTATTGCTGTTTACGATTTGGGTGGTGGCACTTTCGACGTATCGGTGCTAGAAATCCAGAAGGGTGTATTCGAAGTGAAGTCTACTAACGGTGACACGTTGCTCGGTGGTGAAGACTTTGACAATGTCATTGTCAACTTTTTAGTGGACGAGTTTAAGCGAGACGTGAGTATTAAGATCATATATAGAGTGGATATTTACGAGTTTAAAGTTAGCACAGATATCTAATAAGGATGATTTTTTTTTAATTTTTTTAATTTTTGTTTGTTTGTCTGTCAGGCAGAGTGTTAAAAAATATTAAACACGTATTTTTTTCGTAATCATAATATTACGGCGTTACATTGAGTTGAAATTTCGCATGACGTCACGTTAGAGTACGTTTCTACTCAACTGTGACGTAGCGAGCCCCCACTCCTCAACTTTAATGCCTGTTATCTATACTATTTCTTGTTAAATTGAAGTAAAAAAAATACGTATCTAATATTTTTCTATTATCTGACTAACGGACTAAATAGAATTGCATTTTTTTACCCAGTCATCATCCCTATTGTTACGGTTATTGAAAACATTCCTAAGGGACTATTTATAACTTTGAAAATATTCTGAATTGCATTCATAGTGTTTGGAATAAAAATCAAGTCTCCAAAAAAGGCTGAAATAGCAAAAGAATTATGTTTCAATTCATTTAAGTAACATATTAATATATAAAAATATTATATAAATATATATATATAGTATATAATATTTGACTTTGGAATAAAATTTTGCATCTGTTGCTTTGTATTGTATATCACTTTTATATTTTTGCAGGATAATTTATTATATCTTGTAATGTAAACACATAGGAGTATCTTAATTGTAACAATGCTGTGCATATCTTAAATGGTAGATAACTGTTATTATATTAAAACGAAAACTAAATTATTTTTCTATTTATAATGTTGACGTCCCTTGAGTAAATAAATTGAATCCAGTGATTCTTTATCCTTTTTTATTTTGATAAAAAATTTCTTCCGATTTGGATATCTATAATATATATATAGTTGTATTAAATAAATTACATGGGTTTACGCCCGGTATTGCCAGTGGCGCAGTGCATAGATATATTAATGTGTTTCGTGTTTTCATAACAGCAAGGGCTTGATATTCGTAAAGACGCGATGGCAATGCAACGTTTGAAGGAAGCCGCTGAGAAAGCCAAGATCGAGCTGTCTGGTTCCCTTCAGACGGACATCAATCTGCCTTATCTGACTATGGACTCTTCTGGACCTAAGCACATGAATTTGAAGGTGAGACCTTTTACACGTGTTATACGTCTTAAGGTGCATCAGATCAATTTGGACACCGAAGTAAGTGAATGAAACTAAATTTTCTTGCATGTTCCATACGAATGGCACATGGCAACAGAATTTGCAACTTGGACTGTTTTGGAAAAAATATTTTGATACTTTATATTAAACCACTACCAGATTTATTTTCTCCCAAAAAGTGTTATTGAATAAAGGAAATTACCTTTATAAATTATCATTTACAATGTCCCGCGAAAACAACCTGTCCCGCTCAAGGATCATTTCAACACAGGAGTACTGATTGCACTCACAACAAAGGCGTCGACTTTTAATTATTGAAATGTGACGTCACTCGATGCTCTGTCATGGCGTTTCGGTTCTTATAATTAACAGATTATATATTAGCAAGTTAATTTTGCAAAAAATAAATATACCTGCTTACAATTGATATTAAAAGGAAAAATTGTACATAGTTATTATTTACATACAAGTTAGCATTTCTAACATGTTCCATAAGTTTTTGTTATAGCCATCGAGTAGTCTTATTCTAAAAATGTTTTAATACAATTTCCTTCGCCTCCTATGGTTCGGTCAATGAGGACTAATAGATAAATAATAACATTTATTCAGCAGAATTCGTTGTAAATCATTTAGAAAGATGAAGAAATTACAATAATAATTTTAAGAAAATTATTTTTTTATATAGTATGAATCCAATTTTTCGTTTTTTTTTTTTCGTTTCTGTGTATTTCAAACAATGCACAATCCATACAAATATCGTTCTCATACATACTTTGTGTGTATGAACTTATTGGTTGTGCTAGAGTAATACGAAATCGAAACCATCCGCCATTTTTGACGTGATTTGACGGCTTAAAAGGTTCTGTCACACTTTTATACCCGCTAGAGGCAAAGTTTTGTTTTTATAAGCTTTTATTTAGTTTTATGATGTCTGTCTTTCTGTAATCAAATTTTGCAAGCTAAATTTTACCCACATCTTAGTGTCTGCATTAGTTGCAATTTAAAATATCTATTGTGTACTTTTAGTTTTGACGAGAATGTAATGATATATAATCCGTATTATTGCTTATCCAAAAAAGGCCGCTTTATTTTAAGTTTTTATTGTTGTAGAGGCCATAGAAATACATCTGAAAAAACTTCAAATGTAAAGCTATATCATGTTTCATGAGATACAGTCTGATGACCAGTGGTCGGAATTAGGTAGAGTTATTCATGTACTTACACTGATTTCATACAGCGAAAGAATAAAGTGGATATGCCTCAAATCCAGAGATTAATTTTAAAGAGCAGAAAAATCCCGTGATTTTTAAATAAAAAATTATTTACTTTTACACAATTTAAACTACTGCACGCACGACGTTGCCAAACTTACATCAATAACATCGAATGTCCAAAGTTGCAAAATATCAATACGCGCGATGTTGCCATGAAGGTCCACATTAATATCAACATTTCGATGCAAGTACATAACTAACTGTACCTAATTCCGACCTCTGCTGATGACAGACAGATGGTTAGATTGATAGCAGAGTCTTAATTAAACAGGTTCTGTTTTATCCTTTGGGTATGGAATCCTAAAAAGCAATTTATGCTAATTCTAATCAATGTTTTTTTTAAATATTTCTTTTGGTATTAATCATATACATCATAATGGTTCGATACAGTTAATGTTATATTATATTTTTTCTGTTAGATGACCCGCTCGAAACTGGAGTCTCTGGTTGGAGATCTGATCAAGCGAACAATCGCACCGTGCCAGAAGGCTCTCCAGGACGCTGAGGTGCAGAGATCCGATATCGGTGAGGTGTTACTCGTCGGTGGAATGACCAGAATGCCCAAGGTATATTAACTCTTGTGATATTCCTAATTAAATTTATATGCTTGCACTAGCTTTTGACAACGACTTCCTCGGCGTGTAGTTTAAATTTTTAATCAATTTGAAAATTTCTATATAAACATTACCCCTCCATTTTACCCGTTTAGGAGGGAATTTTGTTCAATTTCATCAAAACAGGTTATTTATAATTGTAATCATGAACTTATATACAAACTGCTAAGTCCAGAAATCAGAAAATTATACATAAACTACATCCCTCTACTTCACCCCTTAGGGGTTGAATTCTGAAAATCCTTTCTTAGTGCTCACTTATATCATGAAAAGAGCACCTGTACCAAATTTCAAGTTTCTAGGTTCATTAGTTTTGGCTGTCGTTGATATATATCTGGACCTGAAAAGCATTAGGTCGGATGTATAAAAACTGTATAAAAACAGAAATAGCTAAATGCAATCAAAATATTTGAAAAAGTCGTCTGATCCGACTTTATGCATGACTGTTGCTCATGAGTAAAAAGGCACAAACATACAAGAGTTAATTTGCCGGAAAGAGAAAAAAGAGTGTAGCAACGTTATGGCGATAAGTGATTTTAGCTGGTTCTGCACATCCGACCTAATGCTTTTCAGGTCCAGATATGTCAGTCTAGTTTGCCTTTCACTAATATATAAAATGTTGCATTACCAAGAGAAATGTGCTTAGACGAAGCTCAAGTGATACTTTTAATATGGAATACTTATAAATATGGCAAGTGATCTGACTCCTAGTGTTGATCATAAATGACCATAATACCTACACAGTAGAGATGCGCCAAATAGTGGTTTCAACGAATAACCAAATACTGAATAGTGTTCAGTTTAATCATTACCAAAACATATATTCGGCAGAATTTATCGGGGGGTACCATTTTATTATTTTATTAAGCGAGAGTGTTTCTAAGTTCTCTGTCTTTATGTATCTCTGCTCTATAGTGGATTAAAAAGATACCGAATACTAAACGCATATTAGGCGCATTTACTACGCAGCGTTCGGAACGTAGGGTTGTCACACTATTGTTTTATCAGATATATTTATTTATTGATTGAGAATTTGTTTTCTCCCTGTAAAACTTCTAACTTGCATTTCATAATAAAATGTAATCTATATAACGCCATGATAACATAGCATTCTATTTATGTTTTTTTCGAAATCGATCTAGTACTTTTATATTATCCACTGCAAACAAACATATTTTTTCTTTATAATAATAAATTTTGATAGTTAGGAAAGCACCTAGCACAAGCCAATGTCAGCTCCTGTAGCCGTCTAGGCCGTCTCTTAGACCGGTGCTATATCAACATTGGGGACATATTCCCCGATGAAGTTTTATATTTCTTCGGGTTATAATCTCACAGACATATTTTTATAGTCACTTTAAATTACATGTAATTAAGTAGATAAGTAGTTACTAGATTCTTAACTTTTAATTAGTAAGTAAAAATTAAGGTAACTACTTATGAGCTTAATTGAATTTCACTCACAAATGGTCCATGATGGGCAATCACAGGCCATCCATGTATAGAGGGCATAATCGCTATAAGGGCCCATGATTTAACGTGTTTTGTTTTGCCTGTAGTCGATGCTATCTACTTAAAATGTCGTAGCCGAAGACCTATAATGAACTATTTATATCTAAAGTATTATACCAAAAGGACGCTTCGCAAGGATGGAATCTTGTTTCGATGTCCATATAGTTTAGATGGCAAATAACTAGGGGTTCTTAATGATAAATATACCTTGATAATTAAAAACTACTACACAAATTCTTTTTGTACTTTAGGACTTGTTATTTAAGGGGAATCTTTAAACAACTATCAAATGTGGTTTTGGACTTGAACCCACGACCTTTCGCAATACGAGCGACTGCTCTAACCACTGAGCTACCAAGTGGATTTTTTAAGCATTTTGTATTAATAATGCCAAATTGATCAAATATAATAAGCAAAAATAAAAAGTTTATATAATCATGAACGCCTTTCTGTATTTAATTTTTTTTTTACGGATAGTTATCATATATTCATCGAATAATTATAAAAAAAAAAATCTTGATAACCCAAATTATCTTGAAAGTATTTTTTTTTTTTAAATTTTAATTTACCTTGATGGAACTTAATCCGCCTTTCTTAATCTTTTTTTTCACGTATAATTATCAGATTAAAAAAAATATCTTGATAATATATTTTTAAAAATTTAAATTTACCCCGAGAAACATGGTGCAACTTAAAGATTGCGTATCATTGATTGTGTAGAGGCGGTGGTAATATATAAACGGTCCCCCGATATGTGTTCAGGTCCAGTCAACGGTACAGGAGATATTCGGTCGCGCCCCCTCCAGGGCCGTGAACCCCGACGAGGCGGTGGCGGTGGGCGCGGCGATACAGGGCGGCGTGTTGGCCGGCGACGTGACCGATATACTGTTGTTGGACGTCACCCCACTGTCCCTCGGCATCGAGACACTGGGCGGAGTGTTCACTAAGCTCATCACGAGGAATACGACGATACCCACTAAGAAGAGTCAGGTGTTCTCGACGGGTGAGTTTTTGATGAGAGTGGTGATCGCGATCGTTGGTGTTAAGCAACTTTTGCGTGGGTCGGTTATGGGATGGGTGATCGGAGAATTATTATCTCGAGCATGGGTCCCGGCTGCGTTTGCAGTCGTTTGCAATACCTTTTAATGGGGCAGCGTGGAGGTCATGGCTTATTCTCCTTAACTGCCCATGAGGAAGGCCTGAGAGCTTGCAGTGGGGAAATAAAAGGCTGAAGGCTCTGTCGTCAGATTGCAATAATAAAGCAGTTGTAAATAAAATTATTGTTAAATACGGGATCGCTACCGTGTGTAAATCCCGCAAATTGCCAATGCGCTGGAACCTAGTCTGACATCTGCGTGACGTTATTTTTAAATACGTAGTACGTAGCAGAAAATGCAAGAGATTCATTTTATCATTTATTAATGCTATTTAGCTGCTTTTTATAAGCTCAATAAAATGGTGTTGCAAAATAAAAGTTACAGTATATCTTCAAACTCTAGATGCGCTATATGTTCGGGGGCCTGGTGATCTGTAATACGGGTCTAAAAACCTACACAGGCACCAGTCTCCACAAGGGACCTAATTTCCTAAGTCTACTATTTGTGTCATTTATTATATTTATATTAATAATTGAAATATTTTTGAATAATCCGCAAAATATTGTTATAATAATTTATTAACTTTTAGTTTGTTAATTTATTTACTAAAGACTTTTTGTCCGTCATCGTTCCAAAAGAGATTGTGACAAGTTATATAATTCCCTAAATCGCTATAACAATCGCTATACCTTTTAAAAGCATTACGATTGAGGTGGGTGGTCGGGATCGTTTCGTAAACAAATAAATGAGACAACCTTTTCGAACGATATTCCGCACGTTGAGAATGACAATGTCACTAACCAAAAACGACGTATTTTTTACTTTTGACATTATTTTTCTTTTTTAAAATGCAAAGATCCCTGTAAACGTAGCTTGCATAGAAACTGCTAGGTGGCGTAGTGACGATACGTTGTTTGGAGGGGCGGAGTACAATTTCTTAAACTTTAAACGCTCATTACTCAAAATCGCATTTTTTGCATTGTGTCACTATCGTTCTCAACGTGCGATTTATTTAATTACTACTATTATAGAATTATTACATAAGTAAAATGCTTAGAGTGCAATATGATTCTTACCACTACTACTGGAACTTAGTGTCCCCTACTATCTAATATTACTATTACCTACTATCTATTATTACAATAGACTTTGAAATTAGACAATTAGCCCACAGGTGTGCAGTAGCTCGACTGTTCTTCTCTGTCCCAATCGGCTAAAACATGATCGTATGCCCTAATGCAAGTTTCACCAAATGACCCTATACAGTTTCACAATATTGTTTATTATTTTTATCTTTAGCTGCCGACGGTCAAACCCAAGTGGAGATCAAAGTGCACCAGGGCGAGCGTGAAATGGCCACCGATAACAAACTGCTGGGGCAGTTCTCCCTGGTCGGTATACCGCCCGCCCCGCGGGGAGTTCCTCAGATCGAGGTCACATTCGATATCGACGCCAACGGAATTGTGCACGTTTCAGCTAGAGATAAGGGAACTGGCAAGGAGCAACAAAGTAAGTATATAATACGCAGTGTCAACGTATTACTCGGACGAATTAACATGGTTAAAATGGCGTTTGTGCAAAGTACGGTCGGAAAAAAAGTTCGAGGGCGGTTTGAAAAGTTCTCGGCCCGTCCAAGAAAACAAACAAAATAAAAATATTCTCCCCTTGTCTCAATACAATGGCACTTGACACACAATTACATAAAGAATCGAGCTGTCAAATGACAATAAATTAGTTTACTTACTACCCTCAAATCTCGGTCAAGTCGAGAACTTTGCAAACCATTATTATTATCAATAGAAACACATTTAATTGTTTGCATTTACAATTGGTAGTAAGTCTGCAATTCTACACTTGAAGTTTGATTACTACACATAAAAATATTAATATTATTTTTTTGATATTATTGTATATTACTTAAAAATAATATCAAAGAATCATGCCTCACTTTCATACGTTGACCTGTATTTTTTTTAAGTGTATGTTTAGTTAACGTTTGTGATAATTGAAATTAGTTTTTAAGTGGTATTTTAAAATCGAATAATAAATAAGCATCTTTTTATCTAGACGATGTGTAATTTATAAAATGTTTTGATAGCAACTATCAACGCTCATAATTAATGTATTAAAGTAAAGCTTTTTATATTTTATCTCAAAATTGTGGAAATAAATTCAAATGTGGCACTTTTTCGTCACAAGGTGATGTGGCACGTCACCTTGTGACGAAATAATATTTCTCCATACTAGATGAAACGAAACGAGATATATACATTACTAGACGTATTAGTTAATTTTAAAAGGTCAAAATTTTACATGATTCTTTGTGTACTATTTCAAAACTTTGTATATACAATATCACACTCGTTGCTCATACTCTAAAATGAGTAGCTAATGCCCTCGTATTTTGAAGTATCTGTGACAACGAATTTACCACAACACCCAGACCTAAGACAATATAGGAAAGTTCATTTTCTACACTGACCCGACTGGAAATCGAACCCGGGACCTCCAAGATAGCGACATCTTTCAGATTTCAAGATGAGTAGCTTATGCCTCCGTAGGAGTATCTGTGACCACAACACCAAGACCCGGGACAATATAGGAAAGTTAATTTTCTACACTGGTCCGACTGGGAATCGAACCGAGACCTTAGAGATAGCGACATCTTACAACCGGCGTGCGAACCACTCGGCTTCCGAGGTCGAATATGAGCACATGTCAATTTATGAGTACAAGAACCACTGTACTGGTGTTACTTTTATTGAATTTGCCAAAGTACTCTGACCTCTATAATGATTTCAATTGGAATGTTTTTTTGCCCAGTCGTGATCCAGTCTTCCGGTGGATTGTCCAAGGACGAAATCGAGAATATGGTGAAGGCAGCGGAACAGTTCGCTCAGGCCGATAAGCAGCGGCGTGAACGCGTCGAGGCCGCGAACCAGGCGGAGGGCGTTTTGCACGACACCGAGACCAAGATGGACGAGTATAAGTCCCAATTGCCGCAAGACGAGGTGAGGATGACAATAGGGTGTTCTACTCTTTCGAAAAATTACTTTTTACTGTTCATTTCAATAAAAAAAAAGAAACTCATAAAACAAATATTTCGGGAAAATAAACGCGTTTTCTTGCCTTAAAATAAAAGTTTAAACTTTTTTCATACCCGCGAAAACGTCAGTCATATTAATGACGTCACTATGATATGTCGCAGCCAAGTGGTATAATCAGCTGACCAATTAGGCGGATAGCCCTTTAATGGAATTGATTAATTGGTCGTTTTTGTGTTTTATTTATCTGTGAGTTGGAATATAAAAAACGGCATATGATTTACAACTAAACTGTATCAATCATATTCTATAATTATGATGTACTATAAAGAATTTATTCATTCATTCATTCTAGGATGACTCCTAGAATGAATGAATGAATAAATTCTTTATAGTACAACAGAGTACAAAAACAGAGTAAACGGTGACCCGTTTACTCTGTTTTTTTCTTTAAACAGTTTTGGGTACATAATAAGGCTAATTTACATAAAAAAATAGTTTTTTTTTGTTGTGGGAGGGAACAAGCATCCATATTGATTAATTTAAAATAGTTTTTTGAATGTTGCCAGATGCCCTATTCCAATGTCGGCTTTAACGTTCTGTGACCGAAAATAGTTTTATTTTTATTTCTTTTAATGAATTTAGCACTCGTTTCTAAACCTGTCCGCCAGTTGCGTGAGAGGTAAAGCCGTGTGCTATAGTATAGTCGGTTGCGTGTTATCATCCCGCGAGCTGTTCTGTTTCGTGAGGACGATTTAAGACATCTACATATAGTTAACGACCATTTTACGATATACAGGGTGTGGCGTAGGTAGTGGATAACTTTGTACTCTCGGATTGAGGACCCCTGATTCAACTGGTCTTTGTGTAACATATATTTAATTATTAGAAAATTGTTTTATTTTCCCTTTTTCGAATATCAATTATTTGAAAAAATTACAGTCTACCTCTTGATTGTTAATCTCCACAAAATTTTCATATTAGATAAAAATATTACGATTTCAGGATAGCAAGTCCATTTATTTTTTATATTTATATATTTTTTTAAGTCATGTGACCAAAGTTTGAGCTCGTTTAGTAAAAAAAAAAAAAACTGTATGTAAACATATTCTTAATGAAAAATGTTTTAAAAATCTAATTTGCTCCCTGGCACTCTGTGATGGGACTCGAACCCATGACCTTTCGCAATCCGGGCGACTGCTCTAACCACTGAGATACTCAGGCCCTAACAGGACTTAGAATCTTTAAAGCACTTGTTACCTTTTCGCTACTGCAGAGCGTATTTTCATCGATGTACAGGCAAACCACCCAAACAGCCGAAAGAAATATTTTTACAAATATTTAAACTTTCAATAAAGATGAACAATTGTTCTAATTATTATATTTGATTAATTTTGCATTCAAAATTCTATACTCATTTGTGATTTTTTTGTAAGTATATTTTGCAGTATAGCATTATGAATGCGAAAATTTTTCAAATATAATAAATATGTAAACATAGTTACCCAACACTTTAAAAACTTGGAAACTAATGAAGTTTTTAAAACTCTAACAGCCAGTTGCAGTCATTAGTTTAAAGCGACAATACCCATACAAATTTGACATTAATTAGAGCTTAAAGATATCATTAAACCGTAATGGTCGTTTGTGTAACTGACCCGAGACTTCCATAACTAATTAAATAAGTTACAGCTATTCAAAAATTGAAATGGGCTATCTTATAATTTATTATGTACTAGTTAATTATAATAATAATAAACTTTATTGCACAAAAAAGAGAACATACAAGATACACAAAGATAGCGAATCAAATGGCGACCTTATAGCTTAAAAGTGATCTCTTCCAGGCAACCGCAAAATGGAAATTAGATACAGAGAACACACACACACACACATACATCGCATACACACACAAACACAAAAATTTAACTTACAGAAATTTAATATTATCTACAATAAATATTATTTGGATGTACAGCACGTGAGAGATAGTATTCTGTAACTAATACACACATAATTTTTTTTTTCGTCGAATAGTGCGACAAACTTCGTGGTGATATCGCGAAACTTCGTGAACTGCTCGCGCAGAAGGATACCGCTGACCCTGAGCAGATCAAAACCGCCACCAACACTCTGCAGCAGGCCAGTCTCAAATTATTCGAACAGGCATACAAGAAGGTGAGTTACTTTATATTTAAAAAAAAAACACTAGTTTTTCGCCAGCGGGTTCGCCCGCGTGGTATCCTCGAGCGAGAGAGACAAATAGCACGCTATCGGTCGCGAAGAACAGAGAAATATAGTGGCCTCGCAGACCGTACGTTCGTTGGACTTTTCAAGCAACGCCTGCAATTTATGTTCACGCACAAACCAGTTTATCAGTAGACCGTAAACTAGTCTATCAGTTAGGGGCCGTCCATTACTCACGTGATGTTTTTTCAGCATTTTTAAATAATAATGATAATTATCATTATATAACCATTATAATCGATGTATGAAAGACTTGTGTTTCTAAAGTAAAAAATCTATAATCACGCATTTGAAAGTAGCTTTCTTTCGCACCATTTTTTCTCCCGATCTACACACGATTTTGATATATATTTTTTGTGAAAATATTATAACACTTATATTGCTCCTGTTTTTCTTGTTATATAGATAGATTACTGAAAAAAGACATATTATTATTGGCCGCTGGCAATCCCAGCCACTCGAGTGCGAAAGAGACAGAATATAAGAAAGACACAGTATGCAGAATGAAAGTTATAGTGATTGAGAGAACAGGAATGAAAGAGAAAAATAAGTGAATAAAAAAGGCCTGTTACTAAGTGGGGGACAGAGTAGGGCTCGGCCAAGAATGTAAGGCCAGGCATTATAAATTATAAATGCACATTTTTGAGCCATCTCGCAGACTGTCCGCGTTTTGGTCAAGCACTTGTGCTAAAGTAAACGAGAAGCATGTTATCATCTGCCTGTTTGCTTGCATAGTCTGGTAGACGATTTATGGTTCTCACATTAATATCTACGCAACCGATGATAACTCTGTTTTTGTAACACTGTTGTTAATGCCATCTCTACTAATATTTTAAATGCGAATCTGTAAAGTTTTGAAGTGTAAACTACTGAATAAATTTTTATTTAGAAATTTTGTACACAGGGAAAAATATAGAATTGTTTAAAGGTGTAGGAATAAAGGATGAAAATTTGTATGAAGTGTCATTGTCAAAGAAAAAAAAAAAAAATTTTGTATTTAGGGCACTGGATCGGAAGTAAAAAAATATTAGTACTATAAGTACTAGAGTTTTTGACATTTCGACCTACGCGGAGAAGAAATATGAGATAAGGACCGAATTCCACGCGATTAAAAAGCTGGTCGTCATATAATTTATTATATTATGAATGAGTATTTACCCATCAATATCTAAAATCTATTATTTATAGCTATTTTGACCCTTATACGTAAGGCCAATCTATTTATTATTAGTAGCTCGGTGGCGTAGTGGATGGAAAGGGTTCGAAAGGGTTGGTCATGGGAATGGGTGACCAAAAAGTTATCATCTCAAGCTAAGAGTAGTTTGAGATAAAAACTCCTCTATGCTTCGGAAGGCACGTTAAGCCGTTGGTCTTGTCTGCATTTGCCATCGTTAATACCCCCCTGTCCGCATTGGGCCAACGTCGAGGGTCATGGCCCATCCTCCTTAAAAGGGTTGATAATTATTTATTATTGAACTTTTCCACGCCTTTAAAGTACAATGTTAAGTGTATTATGTATTTTTTCTTCTAGATGGCAGCAGAACGCGAAGGTGGTCAACAACAGGAACAACAGCAAACGGAACAACAACAACAAGAGAAGAAGGAAGAGAAGAATTAGGCACATCACACACGTTAAGAGGACGTCACACGGTCCATATAGTTGTGTAACTATGAATATTAAACTTTACACCAATATAAATATAATACAATATTGCAGTCGCACTGATTTATGAGCTGTGTGAGCGATGATTTTTGTGATAAACAAACAGCACTACAGTTAAGTTCTTTATTCGTTCGTATTTGAGATACGGACAGGTGTCAATATGGTCATAGGTCTGTTATGTTGTGTTTGAGGGATAATAAATGGTATACACTTCGAAACAAATGCGGCGTTGTTAATTGGTGTAGTTATTTTATAAAGTGTCTAGACGTTTTATATAGAACTCGATCAATACCCAATAACAGGTCTAGACTGAACTGAAAATTGTCAATGTAATTATCGGAATTGTTATTTCTAAACTACAAGACTAATTTGGTAAAATTGTTTGAATTTACGTTCTGGACGTATTTTATTAATAGATCAGTAATTATGTATAACGGCTAGACACTTTGTTAGTAGCTTTTTGCTTTTTATAATATCGTCTTAACAGCCTATAGAGACCAAAGTTTTGGATACTTTCATAAATTAGAAGACGCCATTTTAAATGATCGGTTTGAACAGTAGTTTTAATTGTATAGTGATAGATTATTACTTGATTTTTATTAGTATTTCAATATATTACGTCGGCTGGAGTGTATTTTTTTTTGTTGGTATAAAGTTGTATTATTTTAATTATATTTTGTTACATAAAACGAGAGAGCATAGATGTGGCATTGGATGTATATTCCTTTGTATACTCGTTGGGAGTTTGTATATATTATAAAACACCAACGTTTAGTGAAATCAGAGATGACCAATAATACGGTAAATTACGACTGTATGGGCTGGATCCCTTGGCATCTTGGTAAAAAAAAAATAGGAATTTCCTAGTCTTATTTCTTTTCAAAATTAATTTCCAGTAATAATCCCTACTGTGTATTGGCTACTCACGTGTAATTGACAGAATTGTGCGAAACGCGCAGATAAGCCATTAATAAAGGAAGTACAGAAGTGTTCTGTCTAATAATATAAAGATAAATGGTGAAATATTACCAACGACTAAGTTAGATAAATGGTATATGTTAAAAAATATCTACTAAACATAAAAAAAATTCAGATATCTATAAATAAAGTTGAGCTTACGACTTAAGATCTGGCAGTATAGCTAGCTAAGTTCCTTCGCCTAACCCAATGGACGAAACATACTACTACTTACTCCAAATGTCGCGGTATATTGAAATAATGTAAAAATTCAACATTAGGGTCCTCGCAAACTGATGTTTTGTAAATGCTTTATACATTTAGGCTGTTAAATTTATACTTCAAATCTGTATGTTTATATTTATATATAAACATATGTGTTATTACACTGGAAAAGTTTCATAATATTTTTTTTTGTTGTAACACAACTGTTCCTGTTTTCTATTAATTTCATATCCTTATTGAAGTAATGACAAGCTATCTTTGACATCTTCGGATAAGAACTAAGTTGTTTGGCTTTAATTAACAAACTTCAGGAATTGTATACAAGAGCAGTAGCTGAAACTTTTCCAGTGAAATCATGCAAAAACAAACTCTAAGCATAAGTTCTTAAAGGCGTGTTTGCATTTATGAAGTCGGGGTTGAAGGAAATGAATATCTTAGAGTTTGATGTAACACATTTTTGGTAACATCGTCTTTTAATTACAATTTTTTCTAATTAACTAACTCGTAAAAATGCATAACAAGTCAATTTAGACTGTATTGTATAGGAATACAGCAAAATGCAAATTTAATGTAATTTAGTAATATAAAGAGAAAAAAATTGCCATTTTAAGTTCAAATTGAAGAGGGCAAGTCAATATTTCAATTTTATGAAATAAAATTGCTGTGGTATGACCAATTTTTCATTTTTCAGCAATTTGCTTTAGGGGTTTGGTAGGTGATGCCAGTTGTAAATAAATACATGTTCACTTATTACAAGAATTTTGTGATTGTACCAGACGATCTTACCTTGAATGTTTCTTTCCGGTTATTTTTTAGTTGTTGAGTTTTTTGTTCGTGTGAATAGCTGATACATTTTTGTGCATAAATTCCATTGATATATTATAAACCCACATTATTTCGAGCACTTGAGAAATTGGTGACTATAAAATAATGTGGACATTTTAGATTGGCAAAGAAAAAAAATGTTATTATAATATTATCGCCATCTGTTGTTAGTGGAAAGAATTAAATCGTGAAATGAGTTTCTTTTTAATCTCAAGGTTCTAGTAACTTGTCTATTGCTATGACAGTTACATTATTTTCTTGAAGATATATTTGACTCGCTAATTTAACTAATTTAATCACTTGACAGAAGTCAAAGTTGAAATTTTACAGATCCATCATCATCTTTCATTTTTATTTTACATGTAGAAATTAATTTATTTACTTGACATTGGCAGAATTGTGCGAAATGCGCAGATAAGCCATTAATAAAAGAAGAAAAAGAATCACTTGACATTGGCAGAATTGTGTGAAACGCGAAGTCATAGATAGTTTTCATTCATTTCATTTTCATTTTACATGTAGAAATTAATTTATTCATTTGACATTGGCACAATTGTGCGAAATGCGCTGATAAGCCAGTAATAAAAGAAGAAGAAGAAGTCTTTAGTAAAAGAAGAAAAATAACACTATTAAAATTAGTAGTAAAAGGAGATTTATGCATTGACACATTTTTTGTTATACATGTGTTGATAGTATCTTATGTTATCATTTCATATTGATGGAATTTATTCACCTTAGTGTCTGGATATATTGTCTGCCTGGTTGTGTGTTCGTTTGTATGTCTGTCTGTACGTCTGACGGACGCGTTACTGTATTAGTTTATATGTTATATACATACGAATGTTAGTGTCAGTTGAAAATTAGAATAGTGCAATATATTATTTCGAAAATTATGATCGTGTTTTATTTACGACTATTTTTTATTTTGCCAATGAGGAAGTATTAAAAAAAGAAAACACTAAAAAAGCACCTCCACTAGATGGCGACTCTAGCAAAAGATGATTTTGTAGGAAACGAATGGACCAAAGAGCCATTTCCATTCCTTTTAACATATTAAAAACTGAAATTTGAAAAGTTCAAATAGCATGAGTTATTTATTGAGTTTTGAAAACAGATTTACTTTTAAAAATGAAGGAATACCGGAAAGGTTGTCATGGAGAAATCAAGAACGTACCGTGGCGACATCTAGTTAAATTTTGGGAACAATTTTTTTTTTAAATACATACACATTGTTATTTATTAGTAAATATGATATGCGTAATCCGTTTATGCGCCCGATGAATCTGTACAAAGAGACTGGGTAATTAAATGGCTACGATAACTTGTTCTCATGTGGACAATATAGGTTATACACTTTGTGCAGAAACTTGAAACTCGTGATTCGATATAAATAAAATAAAATAATTTATTTTCAGACAATGATGAGAAAGTACGTCACATTATGGCGACTTGAAAAAGTTTAGTTTAGCAATAAATGAACGGACCAAATATAGTAATTTCTGTTTCTTTTAACTAACATTAAAAAAACTGAAATTTGCTAAGTTCGAAACTTGGATATCAATACACGATATAAACAAGTGCAAATAGAATATGAATTGTTTATTGAGTTTTGAAAACTAATTTACTTTTATACATGAAAAAAAACCGGAAAGGTTGTCATGGAGAAATCAAGAAAGTACTGTAGTGACATCTAGTTTGATTTTGGAAACTATTTTTTTTTTGTTAGTACTTCCTAATCGATAAATAGTGATTCCATTGACAGAGTCACTATTTGGGATAAAATTAATTGCGACGAGTAAAACCGAATCAAATTTAGCGTTTAAATTCTTTTTGGTAACAAGATCAGTTTAACCATATATGAACTATAATTAGAAATAGTTCCTTATTTCACAGAAATATTACTCTGAAATAATATAATATTGTGGCGTAGTGGATAAGCGCTGCTGCCCGCGATCGTTGTCGTTAAGCAACTTTCGCAAGGGTCGGTCACGGGATGGGTGACCAAAAAATTATTATCTCGAGCTTCTCCGTGCTTCGGAAGGCACGTTAAGCTGTAGGTCCCGGCTGCATTTGCAGTCGTTAATACCCTCCAATCCGCCATGGCCCATCCTCCTTAACCATCCATAAGAAAGGCCTGAGCCCCTTGTAGTGGGGACGTGAAAAGGGCTGGTGATGATGATTAACACGAACTGCCCAAGGATATTTGTATAACCATCACCACATGTTCAATAATATAAAATATGTAAATAATCTCGGAGTCATTCTATGACTTTTTGTTATATGAATCTTCGTTTACAACTTGGCTATAAAAATTAAGATCATTTTATTTGATAAATGTCATATTGACAAATGCCATAATGTTATTTTTCCCAGAGAAAAATATTTAACTTGCTGCCATATCCAATGAATCACATTGTCTATAGAAACATGCCTTTGGATTAAACGACGTCTATGAATCTTACATGGCTCGGTATTATAATTGCAGGAAACTAGTTTGGATCACCGAATAATGCTGTTTGCAGTTTTTTGCTGGCATAAGATAATTCTATAATTAAAAAAAAACAGGTCGTACGAACATACTTTAATTTATTTATTATAATTTTAGTAAATATAAGATTATATTGATAACTTATATTTTCACGCGTACTAACGTGTATCGTACGTCTTAGTTTTAAGACTTATACTTGTCTTATGTGAACACGAAACCTGTAAAGGGTCAATAAAACTACATACAAATGCAATGAAACCGTTTAAAATTTGTTTCATTTATAAGTCGATCATCTTAGGTAGATCGATAGAAATTCAATCTCGTCTCAAAATTTTCTAAGGTTTTTCTTTAAAATAATGATGTAACGTTATGGTGCGCCACCATAACATGCCATCATTAGTAGTCTGTGTAGGAATCGATAAGATAACCGTTTTCCTTCATTTTGTCGTCGATCCAATCTCGTACTGTCGCCACTCGCGCGTACATCGACGGTAGCCCATCGAAGCTGCAGTTACTGCTCCATGTTACAATACCGTTCAGCGTGTACCGACCTGGCTGGCCCTTTAAATAATTCAGTATTCTTGATTAATATATTAAAAGGTATTAACAGTAAGCAAAAAAAGAAATGTGGCTGTATGTAATGCAATTCCTGTGCCTTTTTAGTATTGAGATTAAATACCTAGTCTTAATGAAAAATGCCTAAAAAGCACTTATAACAATTTATTATATTAATTAGAACAAATTTTTGTCTTTATCGTAAGTTTAAAATATTTATAAAAATATATCTTTCGACTGTCCACCCATTGCCTGTACATTGATAAATATACGCTTTGTATTAGCGAAAAAGTAACAAGTGCTTGAAAGTGGTGCAGCCCAGCAGCGCCACACATCGCACTCCCGGTGCGACACTGTCACTTATGCAAAAATTTAGTTTTTCAGGAGAAGAGTTTTAAACTCTGCCACCTCACAAAACAATGACTTTAGAAGATACAGATGAGATGAATCATACGGAACATAGTTCTGTATGATTCATCTACAAAATTAACATTATCGCACCAAGAAAAGGGGGCTTTAGGACAATTATTACATATTTAACTAATTTTTGAATTTTTTGCAAAAGTGACAGTGTCGCACCGAGGGTGCGACATATTAATCTCCGAAACTACGTAACTAATTTTTAACGGACCTTTTTCGTAACGGTATTTGTCCCTATTTCGTAACGAACTGATAAATAAAGGACTAGATGGACCAATAGTTCATTTCAAAAGGGTGGCGTTGCCAGCCTAACGTAAACCAACTGGTACCTATAATGAAAAAAAAATCCTTTAATAGTAGTGAACCAACCTGTATAGGACACGCCAGCGGGGAGCCCCCACTGCCTTTGCACGAGTCTTCACCTTTTTCACTACGAGCACACATAAATGAGTCGTCCAATTCGAAAAACGGACCCATATTAGGGAACGATCTGAGCTGATCTTGACAGACCTCTCGGTCCACCACCGGCAACTCGACCTAGTTTTGGGAAAAAATCATTAGTTCCTAATTCTTACTCAATTTTTTTACCAAAGTGAACCTAAAACGTACCAGTAAGCACAAACGTATAAAATTCTATTTATTGGACTTGATTATATTATGAGACAACACTCAAGGACAACACTGCATACATTGCGCAAATTAAGTAGTTTTAGCACTTTTATAATAATGGAAAAGACCATTTTTAGATTGACTCGACTGAGAAGTGAACCTCATATATTAGACAAGGTTACATTTGAAACTGGCGTGCGAGTCATTCTGCCACGAAGGTCATAAAGCGCTAATATTCCAATTTGTCGTTTTTATTTATTGTAAATGAAAGAGTCCGTATTATTTTCTAACTTATGACCCCCTAAAGAAAACAGGTTTGAAACTTAACCTATTAATAATTATAGTGTACCTACTAACTTATACTTACATAATAAACGTATTATAATTAAGAAAAATGTATTAGCTTTCAGACTGTTTCTTTGCCTAAATTAAGAAAAAGCCACAAAATAGGCAAACGATAAAAGTGTTCAGAATACTAAAATAACCAAAACATTTAGATCACCCCATAAATAAACATAATGATAACATATAGCTATAGCATAGCTAAAACGATAACATCTAAAACCGTAGCAGTCATTTTTATTTGAAAATTGTATGAGAATAATAACATCGAAGCATTTTGGATTATAATATTTCCATCATTCTCACTTAATAATTTTTTTTTAAATTCTACTACGAGTATATAACGCTGTTAGTACATTGGCAAAACACAACAAAACATCTACGAAATCTGCGTCTGTGTAAGGAGTCATCCATAAATCACGTCACACGATTTTCATGATTTTTTGCCCCTCCCCCCGTCCTAGTCACAGCTGGTCACATTTGTAGGACTCCCCTCTCCCAGTGTGATGTCACATATTTTGCAAGGTTTTTGGATTATAATAGATTTTGAAATGTGACGTCACGAAATTTAGGACCCTCCCACCCCCTTGTCACACAATGTCATACTTCGTTGACTCCCTCTCTCTCCCTCTTAACGTGTGACGTAATTTATGGATGGCCCCTAACGACGTTTTTCGCTGTTCCTAGCGAAACTGTAATGACAAGGACGCAGCTAATACGTCGAGACAATAATAGAGCAAGACCTTAGAATAATAACTAAAGCGGAAACATATGCAACATTGCCATGCAACTGACAAGTGCATGTAAATCGTGTACATGCAGCCATTTCACCGGCATGTCTTACTTGTAGATATTTAGGCAACTTTTGTCGCCTTCCCACTGTTAAACGGGCGTAGGTATGCCGGGTCACCAAACCTAATAGTAGGACAGACCAACCAGTTTGGCCGGCCACTTGGGTAGAAAGGCCGCAACCTACGTTATTGAGGATTTGTGTCTTAGTATTAATACGTAGATACTTAAAAAATTTTATATGTCGAATCACCTGCGCTTGGTTATACTCGCCTCTCATTCGTTTGCGAAGTGGAAAAAGTCTAATAAAAGTTAAAAACGTAGCTATGTCAGGCTTTATCCGGACGTCTGGCAACGTTAAATATGATATTGCTGATGTTACGCGCCATAAACTCACCTTGTTTAATATATACTGGTGCACATCTTGACCGTCTCTGCCCCAACCACTGGAGATGCATCTCGTGCCGGGTGCCACCTCCACAGATTTAGGTGGTAAACAAATGAAATTAACGTGTGCAGCGACTGTCACCGATTTTACGAGGAAAACTAACGCAAAATCGTTGATCAGATTGTCTGAAAATTGATCATTATGATTGTCCGGGGCCTTTCTTATGCATAGGATTGAGTAGAATCAAATAGATATAATGGGCCATGTATGATCCATCAGTGTAGTTTTGTGGGTTTAACACCCACATAATTATATAGCAGATATAGTCGGGAACAATGGCTTCAAGTGCCTTCCGATGCACAGAGGAGCTCGAATACCAATTATTATATCAACCATCCAGTATCCGGCCATTACTAATTTGCTACGATAACTCGAATCTGATACTTTGAATAACAGTCAAGTTGTCTTTCTTAAGTTTTCTTACCTATCAACTCCTACAGTTGGAAGTTCCACAAGGCTCTTATCTAGGGCCTATCTTTTTCTACACATTTTTAATAATATCAGTGAAGCTCTGCGTTATTGTTATGTGACAAATAAGTTATATATTTGAAGCTTGTGTTTGAATTATACTCACCTTGATTGTATTCGTGGTGGAAGTACACTGTCCTCACTTTGATAGACTTCCTGGGGAGTATGTTTACACTTTCCTGATCAAATTCTCCGACTGCTACATACAGATTGTTGTAATCTTCATTCTTCTGAAATAAGTGGGCTGAAGTCAACACACTCCTTTCGTGTATCAACGATCCACCACCCAAATACTCGAAGTTGGCCATTTGGTTATCGATTGACTTAAACCTGAATATTCATAATTTTATTTATTTTCAGAATAGAATAAAAGATTACTCTATGATGTCAATCACTTCATAGCTTAAATTAAGGTTGGTCATAAGCTGTTGGACTTCAACAAATAATATAAAAAAATTCGAATTAATTTATCCATATTTGACTTGTGTATTTAGCATTATATTTATTAAAGCATTTTTATTTTATGAACAACTTGTAGATTTTGAAAATCTGAATATTATACCAAATCCATTAATCATGCTTTATAGGTACAAAATAAAGCATATTTAATTAAGAATAAACATTTCCATTGGTAAAATATTAAAACAATCAAATTAAAATATTTACCTAGCGTGATTCATTCGTAAACAAAAAAAAAACAGACTGTCAAAATATAACGAAAAATAAAAGAAATAAGTGGTATTATGACTTGGCTAAGCCGAGCCAAATTAGTGATGCGACTCGAGTCCTGTTTTTTCTCGAGTCACTCGAGTGAATTTTTCAAACTCGTACACGAGTGAAAAAATATCAGTCGAGTCTTTATCTCGAGTTATCGAGTCAACTCGGCACATCGAGTTATTCTATTGGCTCTAATTGTCGCTTCGCTACTCTAATTTATTAATCTACGCCGCTTATTTACATTTTCTTCATTATTTAAATAAATAATATGTCAAAACTGTTTTAATGTGTATTTTATTTATAATACGTATGTATTTGTTTAATATGACTAACAATAAGAGAAATGTCTGAAATTTTTTTACTCGAGTCACTAGAAAACTCGTTTACGACTCGAGTGTAGTGGTTAATTGGCTCGAGATTCACAAAATCCTACTCGAGTCGCATCACTAAGCCAAATACAATACACTATTATAGCTTCATTACTTGTTTCTTTTTATTTTTAGTTCTATTTCGGCAGTCGTGTTTTTTTTAATTACCTCTTTATTTTAATTTCATTCCTTTTAGCGACCAGCAAATGTATGTATATTTTTGGAATGTATTCATCGAGAAAAAATATAGCCAATGTCACTTTGGGGTGATGTAACATTTCGAGATGATATAAGTTTTTTAATTATACCCTATACATTTATATCCGTTAATCTTTCAAAAGTTACGGTGGAATAAAGAAATAAAAAACACAATACACCCCATTTTTGGGTAGTCGTATAAAAACTAATTAATTTCGATACATAGTGGTGTCATTTGACATATGTATCTACTTTTTATACTTTATTAATAAGTATATATATATTTTAATAATGAATAGTTCGGTAGCGTAGTGGATAAGCGCCGTGGACGGCGATCGTTGTTGTTAAGCAACTTTCGCAGGAGTCGGTCACGGGTTGGGTGACCGAAAAATTATTATCTCGAGCTATTCCGTGCTTGGGAAGGCACGTTAAGCCGTTGGTCCCGACTGCATGTGCAGTCGCTAATACCCTCCAATTCGCAATGGGCCAGCGTGGAGGGTCATGGCCCATCCTCCTTATCCAACTATAAGGAAGGCTTGAGTCCCTGCAGTGGGGACGTAAAAGGGCTGATAATGCTGATGATGATATTTTAATATGTCATAAAGTAAGAAAGCGTTTTTATCTCATAGTAGAACAAAACATGACGAAGTTCAGGATATTTTTTTGCTCTGTACCGCAATAGCGTTTTTCAATTTTCCCAAAGGTTGACTGGAAGAGAACGCTATTAGCATTAATTCCGCCTCTTGTACCATGCTTGTATTGGTCAATAAAATTCAACGAATAAATATTAAGAAAATTTGTTTTAAGAACACCGTTTTCTAGAATTCGTCTTACGAACCTCAATATACTGACTGCCCATGGGAATTCACCCGGCTTCGCGTGTTTCTCGCTGCCGTTTATTGTAGCTTTCACATCGACGCCGTTTTCATTTCTCCAGCCACAACCTTGTCTCTCCATATCCCGGGCCATCCTCACATACTGTTGACAAAGATTAATGGAAATGTATTTATATGTATTTTTCCTTTCATATGCTCAAGTCGATGCTACTAGTATATTCAGATAGTATAGCTCAATAGCATAGTGGGTAACCGCTGCGGCCCGTGAACGTTGTAAGCAACTTTCGTATGGGTCGGATATGTGATGGGTGACCAAAAAATTATTATCGCGGACTGTTTCGTGCTTCGGAAAGTATTTTAAGCTGTTGGTCGGTCGTTAATACCCTCCAATCCGCATTAGGTGAGCGTAGAGGGTCATGGTCTACAAAGACGGCCTGAGACCCTGCAGTGGGGACGTAACAGGGCTGACGATGATGATCAAACGATGCTATAACCTTGACGACCTCCGTGGCCGAGTGGTTCGTAAGCCGGTTTCAAGGTGTTGCCATCTCTAAAGCCCCGGGTTCGATTCCGGTCGAGTCAATGTAGTAGATAATGAACTTAACTATATTGTCTCGGGTCTGGGTGTTGTCGTACCTTCGTTGTCTCAGATACTATACGGGGGCTTTAGCTACTCATCTTGGAATTTGAGAAATGTTTATTATTAATTTATTTAAAAAAAAGCCGCATTTCCTGCTCTAGGGAAACTTTCTTTTTTTATTTGTGACTGTGAGCCTACAGAAAGTCTTATAGTCTTAGTAAAATAGTTTATATTCTTTTATAGTCTTAGTAAAATACAACTGTTTTATAAGAATCTAAAATTTTGTTTTTGAAATAGAAGTAAATCCAACTATTTCGATAATAAGAATAGAAAAGTATTTATTTAGCACCACATTACAAGTACAGTTCAGCAGAACGGGTGTGAAATTGACTATAGTTAATTCTCAATGTCATCTTTTTATTTTGTCAAAGCCTATGAAACTTATTACATAAAATAAAAACGCCATATTTTAGAATAAAACACAAATTATACTTTCAAATGGGACTAAATAATTGTCGTATCTAACCCTCACCTATTTATAACTTATGGTCACGTTATTACCATCACCAGCCCTTTTACGTCCCCACTGCAGGGGCTCAGGCCTTCCTTATAGATGGTTAAGGAGGATGGGCCATGACCCTCCACGCTGGCCCAATGCGGATTGGAGGGTATTAACGACTGCAAATGCAGCTAGGACCAACGGCTTAACGTGCCTTCCGAAGCACAAAGTAGCTCGAGACAATAATTTTTTGGTCACCCATCCCGTGACCGACCCTTGCGAAAGTTGCTTAACAACAACGATCGCGGGCCGCGGCGCTTATTAACGCCACATTAATTTGAAATGTCGTTAACGCCACATTAATTTGAAGTGACGGTATAGGTACATATTAAATCAAAACGACAGGAATGTTTCCTACAATTGAAAAAAACAGATTTCTATTACCTATGTTCGAAAAATATGAACCATTTTAATCTATATATTTTATTACATTAATTTGGAAAAAGTATTACAACAATTTGCTAATATACATATGACATTAAATTAGCGACATAATTTAGCAACTCATTATTACGATATCAAAGTAAACGCACAAATAAAAATATTACGAAGATTCTCCAGATGCTGATAAGCTTCTTTACTTCGTAGCTTGAATTTGTAAACCGTAACTTACTTCTACATTATTAAACTATTTATTTATAAAATAAAAAAGCTAATTACCATAATTATTATGTATTCTTTTTTGTAATTAAAGTGAAAAGTAGAATCACAGAGCTATAAAACCAACCTCATAGACAATGGATCAATTTTGAACCCTTGTGTAACAATTTAGTGTATTCATATAACATTTCTTTTGAGTATCATATCTATAAAAGCATAATATTAAAGACCCCGGTAGTGGAAGTCGCCAATATACCGTCTAGAATGTGATATTTCACTTAGAAAATAATACTTACTGTAGAGTATTTAGGAGTCTCTTGTGGATCGCTAGCTTTTGGAAGCTGACAGCATACTTTCGGTATTGTACAGGTATCCTGACTGACATAATATTTTAAGTGAGTTTTCATATATCAATAAAATAAATAATAAACAAGGTTAAACGTTGGAGTAAATTTACGCTGAGACCACACTTAGTATTAGTCAAAATTCATATTATTGAAATGAAATGAAATAAAATGAAATGAAAATATCTTTGAAATGAAATGAAAATATCTTTATGCAAGTAGGCTATTACAAGCACTTTTGAATCGTCCAAAAATCTTTTTTCCCCTACCACTTGTTCAGGACGTCTTTTAGCTGACAAGAAGAACAAGCGAAAGAAACTTACCAGCTTTTTATCATAAGTAATGACATTTACATAAATCATGTCATTACCAAAATAATATGTATTATCAATTTATCACAATAGTAAATACAACTTTCAAAGTCTGTAGGACATAAGTTGAACATATAATTAGTCTATAGAACAAAGCGAAGGCTATTAATTCCATGCATTGCGATCCTTAAAATAATCATCAACTTTATAATAGCCTGTACTCACAAGTATATTCTTTACATGAATTTGAAATTTATTTATGGGTAGGTCAATTACATTTTGTGGAACTTTATTGAACATAGCAATACATTTACCCAGAAATGATCCTCTGGTTTTTTGAAGTTTGAAGCTTGGAACGGCAAGTTTATCTTTATTTCTTGTGTTAAAATTATGAACACTACTTTTTTTGTGAAGGAATCGTAATGTTTTCTTGTGTACATAATATTCTCATAGATGTATTGAGAGGCAACAGTCAGAATATTTATTTCTTTAAATATTTCTCTGAGAGATTCCCTAGATCGTAAATTATATATAGCACGGACAGCTCTCTTTTGTAAAATAAAAACATCCTGAATGCTAGCCGCAGAACCCCATAACAATATACCATACGTCATTACACTATGAAAATAACTAAAATATACCAATCTTGCCGTTTCAACATTTGTCAAGAGTCTAATTTTCTTAACAGCAAAAGCTGCAGAACTCAGTCTACTTGACAAGCTATCAATATGAGGATCCCATTGCAGTCGGGAATCTAGTGTAATACCAAGGAACTTTGTCGATTCTACTAACTCAACTTTTTCACTATTTACATTTATAAGTGTACTGACATGCCTCACATTAGGTAATGCAAACTTTATGCATTTCGTTTTATTTGAATTGAGCTTTAAATTATTATTATCAAACCACTGTAGAACGTTGTCGAGAGCATTATTTACATCCTCAAAACAATCATTACCCCTCTCAACTTTAAACAGTAAAGAGGTGTCATCTGCAAATAATACTGTCTCACACAAATTCTTCGTAAAGTGAGGAAGATCATTTATATAAATTAAAAAAAGCAATGGTCCTAATATCGATCCCTGAGGTACGCCCATAGTAACTGGTGCCCCTGCAGATTTCGCTTCAGCTTTCTATTAAACAGAGACTTGGCAAAGGTTAACCTAGTACGAGGTTCTATGGGATTCATATTTACTACTAGAAGGTAGAAGGTTTGTTTATTCTCTGTATAATATGAATTTAAAATTGAAATTAAGCGAAGTAACATTAATATTAAAGTTGAAATTTCAATTTTAATATTATTAAAGTAATATTAAAATTGAAAACTTACTCTGACGCTAAACCTTGTTTTTTAATAACACTGTATAAGTATAGAGTCCGTCAAAGCCGTCTCACACAAGAATAATACTTTCAACCTACAAAGTGTGTAGACGACCTGGTAACCACGCCAGTTTCAGTGTCGCCATCTCTGAAAGGTTCGATTCCCGGTGGGGTCAATGTAGAAAATTGACTTTTCTACTTTGCTTGGGTTACTTTATAATAAGGGGGCTTTAGCTAGTTATCTTGGAATCTGAGCAACGTATGAAGTATTGTCTAATAATTTAAAAAAAATCTATACATTATATAACATTGAGTTAGAACGGGAAAGTGGAACTATAAGGCATACGAAGATCTGTTTTTAAGAACCACGCTACCGATATTAGTGACAGGAAAACTGTATCATAATTTCATACATAAAAAAAACACAGTTCGGGAATCGAACCCGGGCATTTCGTTTACATTTACATTACTATAAAACATGATATATAAAGAGTATATTATGTTATATAGACATGTAAAAAACAGTACGCTGAAAAGTAATGCCATATGGCATGACATTTTGTACAGTGTAATATGACGATAAGGCATTACTCAGTACTCTAAATGCGAACGGCCCGCTATTACGTAGCAGGCAGTCGGACCATTCAGTATAATCACGTAATCAACACTCAACTATATATAATGAATCATTTTTAAAATATAACGAGTTCTTTTTATAGGGCCAGTCCGCCCCACTTCCCCCCCTCGATCCGGGCTAGTGCTCTACAGTTAACAGATTCGTCTTCAGGCGTGGATCCAGCTCTTAAAAAAAAATCGGCCACTCGTAGACTTACCATGATATCCAGGTGCACATCACTATGTATATTTAAGAGAGCTAGCTCGATAAATATTTCCTGTGCCATTGAGGCGTACAACCAAGATTTGATCCTCCAGAGTTGCATCTAATCTTTCCAGGGTGTTTTTAGACCACGGAAGTGAGACTACCGGTTACAACTAGTGAATTAGCAGTGAGCATGACCCGGCGGGCTCCTTGCCGAATCCAGGGTCAAGAACCCCTCCCCGGAGGGTACTCGCAAAGGGTTTTACCCGGTAACCGTGTAACTGTTATGGTGCGTGGTACTACACCGTTTATATTGACATAGAAGCCCGCTCTTTCTGAATGTCGGCTCGCAAAAAAATCATCCAGCGAGAGCATATTAATTTAATCATATAAAGCAGTATTATTTAAATAAGCAATATGTAAACGTATATGAGATATCTACGTGAAATATCTACTGAGTTCTACCTATTAAAGAAGCCAGAAACGGCTTTTTTTATTTATAACATACCTACTACATAATAAAATATAAATATACCTACTTATTAAGCCAGTCAGCCGTTTCATTTACTACCAACATCGATATCCAGAACCCGTCATAATTGGCGCCCAACGTGGGGCACCCAACGTGGGCGCCCAACGTGTAGCTCCGATTGTGTTGGTTAAAGCCTTTTCAGTACTGGTACTGGGTCGGAGAGCTCTGGTTTATGGCTTAAGGTTGCATTTCCTCTGCGTTAAAACAAAAGGTATGCCCACAGTGCCCACAACGGTGGGTCCGCTCCTGTTTCTCTTATCATTTACCTGGAGGTTCTTGGATCTATAATGCCCGTTCCGTCCACTATGATAGTGTTAGTGTATCGGTCGCAAAGGTAACTATGGACGCATTCACCCACATGACCCTCCTTGGTCCGGCACGCTGTCGGAGATGCTTCTGTAACATGTGCAGACATTAATCCATTAATTGCCTGTATTAAAAGTGACAACGATACCGTTATGCCGCCATTCATTGGAATCTGCTCGTCCATAGACGGATCTGGCATCTTAACAAAGTATCCTTACCCACCGATAGGCATTTAAGGCATCAGGTTATAATAATCTAGCCTTATTGCGTAGTTTACGTATATTTTTTATTGTAAAACGCCCGCGAGCGGTTTTATGACACACTAGTTTCAAAGCGGTGACTTTATCCTACTAATATTATAAACGTGAAAGTTTCTTTGTTTGGATGTGTGTCCGTCAATCACGCCGAAACTACCGAACGGTATCCTGAATTTTGTGTGACGTAACTAAATTACGTCACACAAAATTCAGGATTTTTAACCCCCCCCCCCCCCTCCTGTCACCTATTTATCTATACAAATTCTACTAAATAGTGTCCTAATGGCACACTTCATCGACCCCCCCCCCGTTTCTTAAAGTGTGACGTAATTTATGGATGACCCCTAGGGTATTAGCTGACTTAGATAATAGGATGCTTTTTATCCCTCTAAATAGTTCCATAGGGACAACGCGGGTGATGTGTGATGTGTGACAAAATGCGTTATTTTAAATTATTTAAACAATACATTTTTTTTTTAATTTTAAATGGTTTAAACAAAATGTTTTCCAATTCTCTCACCTTCATTTCTCAATGAGTTTTCTTCTGAGTGGATGACTTGGACGTACATCAACATCATACAGATTACCAGCATCTGAAAATGTATAATATGCAAGTATTTATATTTGTATATGCAGTTAAGCCTAATCTTAAGGGGTCATCCATAAATTACGTCACACGATTTTCATGATTTTTTTGCTCCTCCCCCCGTCCTAGTCACAGCTAGTCACATTTGTAAGACTCCTAGTGTGATGTCACATATTTTGCAAGGTTTTTGAAAAGTAATAGTTTAAAATTCGTGTTTTAACACTTAGATTATAATATATTTTGAAATGTGACGTCACGAAATTTAGGACCCTCCCACTACCTTGTCACACAATGTCACACTTCGTCGACCCCCTCCCTCCCCTTAACGTGTGACATAATTTATGGATGGCCCCTAAACACATTTATATATTAAGAAATAAGTAAATGACGAAAAATAATCGTAAAATAAACGTTTATTTATTGAAACAAAACCAATTAGAAGCTAGTTTATTCTTGGTTTACGCGCTCTTATTAAGTGTCTTCCTAAGACATCTGCCATCTGTTCGGCATTAGTCGGAAATTATTGACCTTTTTAGTTTGTCTCCAGCCATATATATGACTGGTCTTAGTTATTTTTTTTATTATTGTAACGCGACGCACCTGCCGCATCATTAGCGTCTGCAGAACGAATTTTTATAAACGCAATTTAAAAATAGGATTTTAAATTGGTAGTTCTAGTGTCATCCACCATATTCCACAAAGAGATCCAGACGGTGAAGGTACTTTATCCATTCTGCATCGTGGTATACAACTTTAACAGATCACAAATATTATTGACGAAATGTGTAAACTCAGACTTTCTAGAATTATTGACTTGGAGATAATTTATTTTGACATATGAAACTACTTACTCTTACATCATTATTAAAATATTTTTGTAACGTCATTTAGCGTTAAAAAATATGATAATATAAAATGTCGGGAATGTAGATATACGTCATTGGCAATGGTCATATAATGGCTTTATTCATAGGAAAAAAAAAATATTTTTTATTGTATAAAGGTTCAATGTAGGTCCCAATGCGGATTGGTGGTGTTAATTCGTAATAGATGAAACCTAAAACCTTTTTCTGAGTAGTAGCTTTTATCCATCACCAGAACATTTTCAAATCAATCAATATTCATAGAAAAATTATAAGTTACTGTTTTTCCGCGCCTTCACACGCCTAAATCATAGCTTAATGTATGATGTAGCTACCCGTAAGTGAAAGATTTGTTAAATCCTATGCGATGCGAACAAACAAACAAGGAAATGTTTCCTATTTATAATATTAGAATAGATAAAAGAAACAAAGAAATAATGCGCAAATAAAGTCAAGTGTAATTTTTAACTAACCTTGTAAATAATATTCCTTAGATTTTTTTTTTGACCAGAAAATAATACACACAAGTTAAGACACGCACGGCGGATGAAATACTAATTGTGTATTATCTTCAATTAGTGCCTATTTATTAATATTGTTTATTTAAATAAAAATACGTCACTTGCTATCGGAACTGGGAAAACACAGTGTAAAACGAATGATAAAGTAGACTGTAGGTAAACTAGCCTAGGAACCTTCCGTTTCATATTAAACGAAGTCTTACTTTAGTACCAGCCCTGTGATTATGTAAAATTTCAGAGTCGAATTCGAATTCACTCGTGTGTCCACTTCAAAGAACTGGATCCACTCATCTTGAATTGATAAAAACGTAGTAAAAAGTGGCATAAGTGAAGTGAATTTCGAAATGACATAAGAATAGAATACCTAAGACATGTACGATATATTCAATCAATTTTATTATATACTAGCTTTTCCCGCGACTTCGTCCGCGTGGTAAAGTAACTTTGAGCAGCATTTTTAACGAATTTATTCATTATATCGTGTAACATACCTGAAATAAAGATCCATCCCCTATTTTATTCCCTTTAGGGATGGAAATTATCAAAATCCTTTCTTAGGGGATGCCTACGTCATAGTACCTTTATGCATGCCAAGTCTCAGCCCAATCGATTTAAAATTGACAAAGTTTCATACCTACTTTCATCCCCTATTTTATTCCCTTGAGGGTAGAATTGATCAAAATCCTTTCTACGCGGATGCTTACGTCCTAACATCTACCTGCATGCCAAATTTCAGCCCGATCCGTCCAGTGGTTTGGGCTGTGCGTTGATAGATCACTATGTCGGTCAGTCACCTTTGAGTTATATATATTTAGATAGATATATTTATTTATTTTAAACCGTTCAATCCGCATTGGGCCAGCGTGGAGGGTCATGGCCCATATTCCTTAACCATCCTTAAGGAAGGCCTGAGCCCCTGCAGTAAGGACGTTAAAGGACTGGTGATGATATATTTTATTGATAATGGGCTCACTTTTGACCTCAATCTAGTCTGGGGGCATGAATGAGATCTACGGTGGACTACGAGCTTGTCCAAAAGAAGCCTATTCACACCCTTAAATAGATTTGGGTTGTATGTTCTCAGGAATATAGACGCTGGCAGGGAATTTCACTCTTGCAGTACGTAGGATAAATGAAGTGCTTTGTGCGGAGTTTTGGGATATTCAACAAATGAGGATGGTATCCCGCCATGTGTTAAGATCGTCGATGGCAAAAAGGGCACACTCCCAGTAATACAACATGTAAAAAATAGACATACAGGAAACCATACGCCGATGGGTCACGCTATGAAGCTTTGACTTTAAAGTTTCGTCGCCAAAGAGTCCTATGGCTCTGCGTTCTACTAAGTCTAATGCAGCAAGTTGATATTTGGCTGAGCCTTTGGATGACAGCAGTACTCCATGCAAGACTGAACTTGTGCATTGTAAAGTGTTAAAAGCTGTCCCGGTGTGAAGTACCACTTAACCCGATTTAAGATACTCAGTTTCCCGGCCGCTGTTTGCGCTTTTGACTCAATGATATCGCCGAAGTTGAGATTGTTAGTTAACTTCATGCCAAGTTGTTCAAGGCCACAGGGACAGATTTATCACGGAAAGTAGGAGTCAGATCGAAGGAACTCCTTTTTGAGCGGGTCTACCGCTCGAGTTTTGGTGGTGTTAGAGTTTGCTAAAATTTTAACGCCCATTGGGAAACAAGACTTGTAACGGTGTGCCGTACCACCGTTTATTTCGTCCCAGGTTTTCGCATGAAAACTTTTTGCCTTTGTCTTCAACATCATATCTTTTTATTATTTACCTTTCGTAATTTGAAATTTTGACTAATCCAACATGCTCTTTATGAATGTCAGTTCGTAAAAAAAATATCTGGCGTGAACATGATAATGTAATAATATAAATTTAAATATAAAAAGATTAAGTTATTATAATTTAAATAAGAAAATTGTTAATCTAAAAGTATATCTTCGTGAAATATCGTACAATTTATATATTACAGAAACCCAGAAACGTGGTATGTATTAGTTGTATTTAAAAATTGTAATTATATATTTAGGTAATCATACGAACTGTTTTATAAAAAAAAAGTGTTTTTTTACAGTTTTTCTTTTCCCTTTCACGAAAAAGACACGCACGGCTGTCTTTTTCGTTTAATAAAACCGAGTTCTCGAGCTTAGCCAGCCTTTCATTCATTAGTCCAAGTATCGAACCCGTCACAGACTTAAAGTCGCGTATATCTGGCACCATTGATGTCTGAAGAAGACATTGCAGTAATAATATTGGACTTTATGCAGATAGTATAACGGTAGAATAGACCCGACTTCGAACTTTAACTTCGAAAGTGAAAAATAATACTTATATCAAAAGCGGTTTATTCAAGAAAATGCTATTCAAGTCGGGCGGAGGTTTTCTGTAGGTTATTAATTAAATGATAGGCGCCCAACGTCAATAGCATTTTCTTGAATAAATCGCTTTTGAGATGAGTATTATTTGTCACTTTTTAAGTTCGAAGTCCGTTCTGTTTCTTTTTTTAAGTTTTTATTTCATGCTTTTTAGTGATTTCTGAAAACCGTGTCAAAATCGGTTCATAAAAACGCGACATAAACGCGGACAATACATACAACATGTGTTAAATTGCGAACTTTTTTGTTTTTTTGTCGGTTAATATACCTAAAACCTTCTCCTTATTCTGACAAATACTGTGCTGAAGACCGCACCAAAATCGGTTGAGCCAAACGTGAGATACTCGCGCACAAACATACATATACAGGTCAAACAGAGAATCTCCTTTTTTTAGTCTGTTAAAAATGTTAGGAGTTGAGATTATATGACGTAAAGCAGAATGGCCTGTTTTTTTTTTTTTTTTTTTACGTTTATTGATAGGACCACAAACAAGTTTACAATTCATCTTAATTAGCTTATTTACTAACATTAATTACTTATTGTAAACTCAACAACGATGGCCTCGTTTTACATATC